GTTATTCAGTAAAATATTTTTGGAAGACATACGCATATAACGAATGAGAAACATTTGATTGTGTGTTCAATGACAATTTTAGTACTTTGGCGTTGTAATGAATTGGGGATTTGTGTTTGAGAATATTACCCAACTACATACGGGGATAGAAAGCAGTTTCGTGGAATAATTGTTAAAATAGATAGACAACAATTGATACCTTGTAAGCAAAGAAGGGTTTGACCTTCAGACCTTCTGTCAGTCTGTCAAATTGAATTCTTTCAAAAAGAGTATTTTTTCCATCTGTGCAGTTCATAACCCAAATGGTAGACCCCGTGGGAAACACAACTTTAGCATGACAAAAGCAGAGGCCTCTCGTCCAATCAACGACAAAAATCAGTACGTGATTATCCTGCCATAAAGTGCACATTATGACTAAGTGTCCCGTCAGTAAAACTCTACCCAAATAAACATATTCCATTCGATACGCTTACCCGATACTGGGAGCCTTTCCAAACATGGAGGAATCTGCCATAGAGTTTACTGATTATATGGCCAAGGCTTGTTAGTGTAACAAGCTGTTACAACTCTATTAGAAAAAGAAATGTTGTAATGCATATTCATTTCTTATAAAATCAGTTTTACTCCGTCTAGATTTTATAATGCTATATTTCCCTACGTGTGGTTCACGATAGACTTACCTCCACGTGGTTCACCCTGGGCAACATATATTCTCATACGGCAAAAAGTCCATTAACCGACAGTTGACTTCTCACTTCAAACTACCATCACCCCAATGTATATCATAGTCGACTACTCACAGTACTCACCTCACCTTTTTTCTACCTTCTTACCTTTGTCTTTGAAACACTTCTGTTCCTCCCCCCCCCCTCTCGAATTTTTTCTATTCTGACGTTCCTCCTCCCCTCTGTGAAGCCTAAAGCCAACTTAAGGGCTAATGATAATCACAGTACTCACCTCATCTTTTTTCTACCTTTGTGTCTGTCTGTCTCTTTACATCTGTGAATCATTATTCTTCCCCCCCTCCCCCCCCCCTCGGCATTTTGTCATTTTGAAGTTCCTCCTCCCCTCTATGAAGTCCGAAGTGAGCTAAAGGGCTAATGATAACTATCAAAACGCAGGCCAATTGATATAAATAAGTATTTCCCTACATATTGTATTTCAAAGACTAAATAAACCTCTAGCAACACGAGTGATGGAATATGAGTTTAAATGGGTAAACTCTCAAGATACTGACGTGGCATTGTATTATAAATGTGGAAAAAATAAAAAAGCCAAAGAATGACGACTCCTCGCAAGGCCATGGCATAAGGCACTTTTCGCACTTATTACAGGCGAACAGTTTAGTCACCTGGTGTCATATTCAAATAGACCGACAACTGTACCTCCATTCACTTGATTCGGCAAAGTAGAACGCGCTTCTCATCCTCATTTCGATACACAAAAGCAAAGTCTTTTTACAAGTAAAATATAACAGAAATAGGAGAGTAAATAATTAACATCGCTCTTGAAATTCATTATTTTTTATGAAAATGGTTGGTGAGGAGAAGAACAAAATTCCGCGTCTCCGATTTGTGCAAAACGGAAAATTAAAAAAAGTGTTCATCTTTGTCCTACATTTTGTCCCTCACTTTTTTAATGCAGCCCAATCAGATACAACACAAAAATAAGAAGACAAAAGGATCAGCAAGTGTCGAAGTTTAAAAAAATTGTGGAATTCGACATTAAGATCGCATAGTCGAGAAGCCATACCGCCACGTCTCCTACACTGCTAGTTGAATGCTGGTGCATTTCATTCAAGATCAAACACAAAGCACAAATACGAAAGCACAGAATTTATATCAATAAAAGTGTGGCATATGGCGATAATTTGTGCCTCCATATGCGAAGCCCAATTGTCTTCCACTAGGCCAATATCTCGTGGGTGCTTGGCGGTCACGTTCAGTGAAGTGTGTTGAAGTTCAAACTGGTAATTGTGTTTGATGTTGGAAGGTAGTAGATGAGGTTACAGATGAAAATGAAATTGTGAGTAAACTCTGACGTGGTGGAAAATGATAAATTCCAGGGGAATTGTAAAAATCAATGCTTGCTGAATACTAACATTCATTAAGAGTATTCAATGCTCTCATGATAAAAATTTGATTGTTATTCAATGTCGTATAGGAACAAGATGAAGGACAAGACCTGATGAGATGTCTTCTGCACAGGAGAATTAGCTGTTCACCAGTGCTTCGTCTTAAGTGTTGACGAACTCCTTTGGCATTAAAGTTTAGTTCATTTTTCATTTGATCGCGCAATAACTCCTTTAATTCACTTTTCTTTTTGACAATCATCGTCGTCAAATTACATTCCTATCAAAACTCAGCTCCGGAGTTTGGCACAATATCAATGTGTAATGATAGCGAAGGAGAATGACCTTCACTGGTGTCACCATGGGAAAGTTGAAATACCGACTATTAAAACAGAGTTTTTATCAAGTAGAAGGACATGATCATTTATATTAACTGCACCCTATTAAACGGCAGTTGACTTCAAACTACCATGACCCCGCTGTATGTCATATTTGATTACTTCCACATTACTCACTTCACCTTTTTTAATACCTTTCTGTCTGTCTCTTTATTCCACCCCCCCCCCTCTCGACTTTTTGTCTCTTTGATGTTCCTTCCCCTCTGTGGAGCCTGAAGTCCACTAAAGGGCTAATGATAACTATCAAAACGCCTGCCATTTGAAATATATAAATAAATATTAACTACGAATTTAATATTATTGCATTTTATGGCAGTGGATCTACACTATTCTCCATTTATTCCATCACTTTCTTGATAAAATCCCTGAATTACATCTGCTGTGCATACTGAACCCCATTGCGAACTAAATGTAATATCCCCCACCTCGAAGAGAGCGTCTAGCCCCCGGGAATAGTGCGTTTCATTACTTCAATTAAAACTGTATTGATTTGCAAAATATACACATTTCAGGACAGGAATGGAGGTTAGTAATTATTATGCCAACTTCACCCAATTAATTACAAAATAACCTATATCCTACCACATAATTTATTTCAGTTTTACGTAGTACCGTCAGCAGTACAGCAGTACCGTCGCTGTTTGACATAAAATTTTAAATCTGAATAGTCAATCCACTTCTTTAGCCATGCTCAAGTTATATCTGTAAGTCACGATTCGCCCAAAGAAATAAATCTTAAAGTGGCAGAGAAGAGAATAAGGCGCCGGGGACGTTTTGGAAAAGTGTGAAAAATGGACCAAAAGCAAGTGGGTGAGTAGTGAGTCCTGTGGTCTTCTAAATTTTACATTTTTCCTTCGCAGACTTCCCTTCGTATTAGATAAGAAAGAATATTCTGATTACTTGTTTCAACAACGGGTATTAAGAAACTGTGGCCGTCGAAGGACTGGAGACCAAATGCGTAGTCTCACTTTAGTTACGCCAAACAATTCAGCGGTCAGTGTGCACGCCGATTGAAACTCATTGGTCTGTTTGCGTGATGCATATTTGTCGGTACTGACTGTGCTGATTAATACAGTCCAAGAAAAGGGCAGGTAACTAAGTCATCAGTATCCTAAACACGCCTTGCAACGAGATTGAAAATTGCGTGCAATGATCAGGGGAAGCGCTCTTCCCCCTCCCCTCCCCCCCCGGGAGATATGTCCCTCAGGTGTCAAAAAAAGCCAATCTAAAGTGGCGAATTTTCCTGCTTTCTTTCCCCCGTTTGAAGACGTGACTGGATGCGTTAGGATACTTTGAATTATGAAACCCCCAATTAACTTTTCCTTAAGGTAACATATATTTAAGTATAGTCCTCAGTTGATCGTTTTCACAAGTTCAATTATTTACTGTATGGGGTGTGCGATAGACTTACCTCCACGTGGTGCGCCCTGGGCAATGTATTCTCATACGGCAAAAAGGTCTATTAACCGGCAATTGACCTCTGACCCCACTGTATGTCATATTCGACCACTTCCCCAGTACTACATCACAAATTTTCGAAATTTTCAACCTTTGTCTTTGAAACACTCTTTTGTCCCCCCCCCCATCTCGACTTTTTTCAATTTGATGTTCTTTCCCCTCTGTGAAGCCTGAAGTCAACTAGTTGATGTTCCTTCCCCTCTGTGAAGCCTGAAAGTCAACTAATTCTAATGATATCTATCAAAACGCCTGTCATTTGAAATAAACGGTAATGATAGCCATCAAGACGCCTACCATTTGATATAAATTAATGATAACTACCAAAACGCCTGCCATTTGATATAAGTACGAACCTTCCCTCTGTGAAGCCTGAAGTCAACTAAAGGGCCAATGATAACCATAAAAATGCCTGCCATTTGATATAAATAAATAAATATTATTTACTGTATTAGTGTTTAAAGGCGCCCCAGTTTCCATTCCCCGAATACTTGTGCCAAATAAAATTCAAAGATGCTCAAAAATGCCTGATTAGATAGTGGGGGTGGGGGGTGGGGGGTGCACGAAAAATTGGCCAAGTGGAAGCCAGTCGTCGATGGAGTTTCTCACCAGAGGGTCTCCCCAACTCGCCTCTCGAAATGTCACAAGACTAAGCAATTGGCTATGCATAATATCCACTGACCTTTCGTCCAAGCTCACGTTTTTACTTAAGATTCTTAATCCCAATTTCAATATGTCTGGGAAGAAATAGCGATGGGAGTTACTTCCAAAGTTACCAAAAATTAATTAAATGGGCGCTTCACAGGAAAGAAACCATATCTTCCTGAAGTATCTATCCAATAAATGAGTTAAATTAGCGTAAAAGCGCAAATAAGAGAAAATTGAACAAAAAATGAACACTTTATTTGCGGTTAGTTTAAACAAATTAAAATGCGAGGTTGTAAAAGGAGTGCAAAGATGAACTAAGAATACTGGGAAGGTTAATGATAAAACAATCCGCCACCATTGAAATGCATGCAAGTTTGAGAGGTATCGGTGATTGTTATAGGCGATGGTAATATGTCCAGTCATCAACTTCACTCCTGGGCTGTCTTGGTGAAGAAAGAGAGACCTTTGGAGGGCACTAATTGAATACTTTCGACTCCTGGGGCCTCTGTATTCCCAAGTGGGTCTGTTGGACAGGGTTCTCCAGATGTCTCACTGTTTACTAAAAGGTTTTCCAGCATCTGATTTCCACGAGGTGAACGGAACTTGTGCGAGGGGGCGTAGAGACAGAGAATGGTAACTACGTAGGCATTCCACATTCCATAGACACCGGTTATAAACGCTGAAGTGTATTCAATACGATGGCTTCCCCACTTCCATTGTTCCTCATTAGCCTAAAGAAACAAAGTTCAATATAGTTCATCTCAGTCCTTCAAGCAGCAAATTGCATTCTTTTGAAACTTTAGAAAAGAGATTTAGAGTCCGATACACAATTCGAACATTTGATTCAAAAATGGAAGATCGATTTTAAAAACGCCATCAAAATAGTGAAATTTACATTATGTAGGTGCATGATCCAGCGCAAATACCCTAAACTCTACTCTTTCTACGCAGGAGAGGGACACAAAAGATCCACTTTCGAAGGAGAAATAGAGGCCATTAGGATAGCACTATGCCAATTATGTTGCCTCGATACGAAATTCACCAAAGCAGTGATACTTTCGGACTCACAGTCAGCAATAAACTCAATTGGAAGCAGAGAGCCATCCAAAACAGATGAGATATACGAATGTAAAAAACTCAATCAGCTGCTGAGAGAGAAAAACAAAACAGTGGTCCTACAATGGATTCCTGATCACTGTGGCATTAAAGGCAATGAGCTTGCTGACACAGTTGCTAAGAAGGGGGCAACGATTTTCCAAGGGATAGACCGGCCGATGTCTTTCCACACAATGAAGGCCTTAATTAGGAGAGAATTCAAGATCTCAAGGTGCAACGAACTTAAAGCTCGAATAAAGGAGAAAAAGTGGACAGTGGCGCTCTCCGACATAGCCGACTGGCCAAGAATCGAAGCCGTTGCTGGGTTTAGACTACGCACCGGACGCTCAACCCACATGTCCCCTATGTAACCTACAGGAGGAAATGGAGAAGACCCACCTGATTCGGTGTCCAGCCCTAATGTCAATGACGGAAACCCAGAGATACTAGGAATCAAGAAGACAGCTAATGAACTGCTATTAATTAACTGCTATATATGTACCCCACACCCATGGGGGAAGCTGAAGTCAAAGTTTAAGGGCTAATAATAAGTATCATGCAGCCTGCTATTTGAAAAAAAACATTATGTAGGTGCGTGATCCAGCGCAAATGCCCTGAAACAGTCGTTCAAATATGTATACAAACGTTCATTCTGGTAAAGTTAGATTAGAAAAAGTATTTCACGGAATCAAATGTGGAATTGGTGTGTTGACAGTCTGTCAGTATGTACAGTCCCTCACGTAGTTCCCATTAATCGAGTTAATTGCAAAAAACTTGCGATATTGTGGGACTCCCATGACGCAATGGAAAAACAGTCGTATTCCAAAAGCAGACTTTAAGTGGTTGTGATAAGGGAGGTCACCTGTCTGGATGTTAAAGACGAAAAGAAAAAACAACAGCAGCAAATTCATCTCTCATCCAGGTCGACCTCTGTTTCACTTGACCTTGGGAAATGAAACCGCCTAGTGCGTTCCCAGTTTATATCCACTTAACCTCGTCTTTCATAACCTGTGTGTCTCAGTATTAACGACAGAACACATCTAATTCATTAGCAGTAATAACATTAATAATTCAACTTGAAATAGATGCGCTATCATCATAGCAATGACACCAAAGCGCCTGAATGTTAAACTAAAAGTAGTACGCATTTTATTAATAAAATTCTAAACGCTGTATTAGGGCAATTATACACTATTAATTAAAATGCTTAAATTCATTCTGTCATATATCGTGAAAGCATCTACCTTCTGAAATCGGGCAGGTTACCAAGAAAGTAAAGGTGATCAATGTGCTATGGCAATTTAACGATGCGTTACCGCCTTCGGTAGCTGGCAAACTAACCTGGCTGAAGATGTAGAATATGACAGTGAGCGCTGCACAGAGAATGGTGTAGAGGAGAAGAGCAGTGAAGCGGTAGATGAGACCGGAGTAGTAGACACGTTGGTCGGGCTGAAGGGCGGGAAGAAGTCGGCGTTTGGCGAAGATTTGCCACAGCGCTCGAGCGACCATTACTGAGAGGTAGAGGAAGTAGGCCGCTGCACAAAGTCCTCCCAAAATGACACTGGCGTAGCCCAATTTCGCTGCCAGAGGGTGCGACCAGATACTGAAACAGGTAGTGACGCATTACCGGTCAATTACACCACGAGCAATGGCACCATCACTTACAAATTTAAAACTATGTCAAATAATCTTTCAAAGTAAATGCTCTGTTTAGGTAGAAATATAATAATAAACAGTTAACAAGTATTTTATTTGACGAAATTTCTTTTGTGTTTTTTGTTTTCTTCCTTCTAAACCACCATGACAGAAGTAGATCAAGCTTTATCCAGCAGATTCGAAGAGTGTGAGGGCATATTCCGAAACAATTTCGTTAATATTATAGGCGATATAAAAGTTAGATTGTTGTTGTTAAGTAGGTTGGGAACGGACAATTTCGAATCTTAATGTCGACTAAGCGGCCATCATTTCCTCTGAAGTATTTGGTGAAAAGTCTTCTAAATGTAGAAAATGGTTACGTTGTTTTTCACCAAAAACGATGAGAACTGGATGGCCTATGCTTACCCAACACACTCATATCTACCAAAAGGGTGTACACGCACAATCTGTTCTTCGACTTCTAATTTTCAAAATAGTTCGTTAAGTTGGTCTGTGATTGGGCTCGAGCGATTAACAGTAGGGAGAGAAAATCGCATGTCCAAACTCGTCCATAGAAGCTCGAACCAGTAGTAGCGGATTACTGACCAAGTTAGTCGGTAACTGAGAGGACAAAAAAAAACAAATTCTCACTATCCACTTATCCTAAATTAAAGTTATAGGATAAAAATGTAACTTTTCGTGTCTGGTAATACTTCGATGATAGAAGGGATGTTTTGTTAAAAATATTTGACTAAATCTCGAAGATCATGACCAACCCCCCCCCCTCTATTCTATTAAAATTTGCTGATAAATCCGACGGATATCAACGCAATAGAAGGATAATATTTACCAACCAATTTCATTTGAACTTCAAGCAAACAGTGTTGTTGGTCAGCCCCATCAAGAGAAGGCGATAAACAAAAATCAACACAAATTATGGATAAAATTAAAAAGTGAGCCAAAAAATTGAAAGGTAAACTCGATTCAAAAGTAACACGACTTGCCACTTAGATTAACTTCATGCGATATCAGCTGTCCAACGATATGAAAGTGTAGAGAGAGAGAAGTAATTTTAGAGCATTATAAAAATATGTTTTGGTTAAAAATGAGAAAAAAATGAAGGAAGTTCGGGTTTAAATCTTCTTTTATTCAAATAAAGTAAGTAAATAGACACCTTCATGTAGTTTGTATTAATTGATTCAAGCAGGTATTGTCAACATGTACACCTTCAAAGTTAAGAAAAATAACTCTATTTCCCAAAAGGCTCATATACAATTGGTTATTGTGAAAGGACAGGAGGATGTGAAGATGAACTCCAATAGTTGACAAAAGAA